ATGGGAAGTAGAAGCGAACTTAGGCCTTCCCTGAAGGAGCTCGGCCCAGGAGTACCTGAAATGTCTCTGCATCTCTTTAAGGTCTGATAAAGGAACCAGGAGCGAGCACTAATCACTTCCCTTTCCTGCCTCAGAGCTTTCATGTGTTTGCTGTTCCCCGCCTGAAATGCCAAGTACTAATGGTATTTATTTATTTATAGAAGTGGGGTCTCCCTATGTTGCCCAGGCTGGTCTCAAACTCCTGGCCTCAAGCTATCCTCTCGTCTGAGCCTCCCAAAGTGTTGGGATTACAGGCATGATCCACTGTCCCCAGCCTTGATCGTCTTTAAAACCTCTTTCCTCATCTTATTTGAGCTTCCTGCATCATGTGACCCCACACCCTTGGTGTTCCTGTACCTCCATAGTTGCTCCTCTGTGGGTCCCAGGGACCCATCCCCTTCTCTGCCCAACTTGTATATGTCTGGGCTCAGGCCAAATGCCCTTCCATTTGCACTGGGCACTGCTACAGGAAATCTCATGCCCTTTCGGGCTTCACAAATCATCCACATGCTCTGCTGCCTGCCAGAGACATCCATCCCAGTCAGATGCCCAGCCCTGACCTTTCCCAAAGCCCCAGCTGGACACAGGGAAGCATCTCAAATTTTCCGCTGGCCGAAACAGAGTGCTTTATTAGTGCCCTAACCTGCTCATCCACATTCTTGTGATTCTCTGTAAACAGCCCCTTCATCCACCCAGCTGCTCAGGTGAAAATCTCAAATCCTCCTCCAGTCCTTCCTCCCCGAACCTGTCAGCAGCCCTCTGCCTTCCTAGGATGCTGAGCACCCCTCACTCCCAGCACCAGCTGGGGTGCTGTCTGAGTGGCTGCCTCCCACTCGGCATGAAGTGTGACCTCTTGCCCGGTGTGGTGGCTTACGCCTGTAGTCACAGCACTTTGGGAGGCTGAGGCGGGCAGATCGCTTGAGGCCAGGAGACTGGGACCAGCCCGGCCAATATGGTGAAACTAAAATACAACAATTAGCCAGGCATGGTAATGCCTATCATCCCAGCTACCCTACTCAGGAGGCTGAGGCAGGAAAATTGCTTGAACCTGGGAGGCAGAGGTTGCAGTGAGCCAATGTCACACCACTGCACTCCAGCCTGGGCAACAGAGCGAGACTCTGTCGCAAATTAAAAAAAAAAAAAAGCAAGAAGAAGAAGAAGTGTGACCTCTCTAAGGCAAGGCTGTGTCCCACTCTGATTCACTTCCATGTGCAAAACAGGACCTGCACCCCGAAGGCACTCACTCAGGGAGGCTGCTGGGATGGGTGGATGCACAGTTAAGGTCTTCATGGTGGCTGGGGCTGACCCCATCCCCATCGCTCTTCCCACACACACCTGCACACTCATCACTCCCACACTCCCACCCACCACTGAAAGCCTGGCCCCTAATCTGATTTGTCCCCGGATGAACAACACATGCTTCCCTACCTCTCCCCTGCTAGGGCCCCACCGTGTTCTGGGATGTACTCAGGGATCAGGAGAACAAAACCTCAGGGAGTGAAAGGACATTCCAGGGTGCAGGCCTCTGCATCCCCCTCCATGCCCTCACCCCTGCCTGACACACCCTCACCCCTGTACCTGGCCAGCTCTTACCAACCCTTAAAGTCTCACCAAGTTCAGTGGTGGCAGCCACACCCTAAAGTGACTGACCCCCAATGACCTATGCCCTTGAATAGTCTTCCTGACCTTGGGTATGAGCAAAACCAGTGACTGGCTTCTAACCCACAGAGCCTGGCAAAAGCAATAGGATGTCACTGTCACAGTGCATCACCTTGGCACACTAGAAAGAGGCTCCTCCTGCAGGCGCTGCAGGAGGGAGATGCTGTGCTGAGAAAGGACCTTTGGAGGGGCCCCGTAGGCAAGGAAGCAAAAAGCTGGGCCCTTGCCAAGCGGGTCCGAGGAAATGAATTCTGCCAATAACCTCAGTGGACCTGGAAATGGATTCTGCCCTGGTGGAGCCTCAGATGAGGATGCAGCCCAGCTGCTTAGCGTGAGATCCCAAGCAGAGGACCTGCTAAAATGTCCTCAACTCCTATCTTGCCAAAATTGGCTTAAAGGTGTGTGTTGTTTTAAGCTTCTAAGTGTTTAGTTATTGCCTATGAAAGTGTTAAAATATGAGACAATAACTTAGGTCCCCTCCCCATCACACACTCTTCTTTCTGGCATTCATCACAATTATACTTATTGATTTAAAATCTCCCTCTTGACTGGGTGCAGTGGCTCAGGAGTTCCAGACCAGCCTGGCCAACATGGTGAAACCCCATCTCTACTAAAAATACAAAAATTAGCTAGGCGTGGTGGTGCAATCCTGTAATCCCAGCTACTCGGAAGGCTGAGGCAGGAGAATTGCTTGAATCCAAGAGGCAGAGGTTGCAGTAAGCCGAGATTACACCATTGCACTCCAGCCTGAGTGACAAGAACAAAACTGTCTCAAAAAAAAAAAAAAAAACATTGTCTCTTGCCACTGGCATGAAGGTCCCTGAGAAGAAAAATGGAAACTCTTGCTCATAACAGTGCCCCAAATGCCCAGCACGGTGTAGCTCTAGGGCAGTTGGTCGATGGTGGACGCTGCTGGTTGGAGGGCCCAGCTGGCCCTCCCAGCTGCCTTCTCCCTGGTCACGTTCCATTATAGAGAACAGAATAATTTCTTGCCTTTCCAGAGTCCCTCTTAGTGGGCATTGGCCAAGTGACATTGTCCTGCCCTGGGAGACGTAAGTGGAAGTTGGCTGAAAGGTTTCTAGCCGTGGTGTGCTGGGGCGATTTGAACCAGGACATGGGAGCTGACCGTCCATTGTTCGGGAATTCTGCAAGTTGGTTGTTCAACACATTCAGTACCTAAAAATATTAAATAATATAAACTCGCAAATTTAAAAATGCATTAGACCAGATGCAGTGACCCACGTCTAACACACTGGAAGGCTGAGGCAGGAAGATCACTTGAGCCCAGGAGTTCAAGACCAGCTTAGGCAAAAAAGGAAGACCCTGTCTCTACAAAAAATTTTAAAATTAGCTAGGCATGGTGGTGTGTGCGTGCAATCCTAGCCACTCAGGAGGCTGAGGTGGGGGCATCGCTGAGCCATCTGTGCAAGGCTCCAATGAGCTATGATAGTGCCACTGCACTCCAGCCTGGGGACAGAGCTAGACCCTGTCTCAGAAATAAACATATTTTATATATTAATAAATTTATAATAAATGTATATTTATATATACATTTGTGTATTATAATTATATATTTAGACATAAATATATATTTTTTATTTTATTTATTTATTTATTTTGAGACGGAGTTTAACCCTCGTCACCCAGGCTGGAGTGCAATGACGCGATCTGGGCTCACCGCAACCTCCACCTCCAGGGTTCAAGTGATTTTCCTGCCTCAGTCTCCTGAGTAGCTGGGATTACAGGCACACACCACCACGCCTGGCTAATTTTGTATTTTTAGTAGAGATGGGGTTTCTCCATGTTGGTCAGGCTAGTCTCGAACTCCCGACCTCATTGATCTGCCCACCTTGGCCTCCCAAATTGCTGGGATTACAGGTGTGAACCACCGTGCCCAGCCTATATTATATATTTATATATTATAATTATGTATATTAATTGTATATAATTATATATAAATATAAATATAAAAACTTTCCCTGCCTTCTCTTGTTTTTACCTACAGTCAGTCCCATGACTTCCAATACTATCTACATGTAATAATTTTAAATGTATTTTTTATATATATATATATATTTTTTTTTTTTTTAGACAGAGTCTCGCCCTGTTGTCAGGCTGGAGTGCAATGGTGCAGTCTCAGCTCACTGCAACCTCTGACTCCCGGGTTCAAGCGATTCTCCTGCCTCAGCCTCCCAAGTAGCTGGGCTTATAGGCGCCCACCACCACATCCAGCTAATTTTTGTATTTTTAGTAGAGACATGGTTTTGGCATGGTTGGCTAGGTTGGTTTCGAACTCCTGACCTTAATTGATCGCCTGCCTCGGCCTCCTAAAGCGCTGGGATTACAGGCGTGAGCCACTTTGGCCAAAATATTTTTCTGTTTCCAAACATTTTATATGAGAGGAAAGCAGAGAATAAATCATCTGACACTCTACTGTTAAAAAAAAAATCTTTGTACCTCTTTTCATCTTTCCTAAGTGTACATATTACCAAAATGTCTTTAGGTTGAGGTCCCCCCGTGAAAACTTTACAGGATGTTGTGTCCTCAGCCACCCTCCTGTCTTTTCCTAGTCCTGGCATTTTAGAACTGTCTGGGGATGACCCAGGATACCCACTGTGGCCATGTCTATTGGAGGGTCTAGTGAGTATCAGCCCTGGGGTCATCTCATCGCCAAGGACAGGCTGAGGTAGGGGGTAGAGTCTCTCAGGGGAGCGGCTGGATGCTCTTGGCCTTAGAGGAATCTCCTGGTATGGTTTCATCTAAAGTGGTGACCCCTTAGGGTTATTAACATTTCAGGACATTAAAATTAATGGACAATACAACATAATGTCGTTAAAGCTACGTCATTAAAACTGTTCCTCCAGCCGGGGTTTTTATTCCTCGGAGACACGTTGATGGTCTGCCAATCGGATACTGATATTGAGAGGAAAAGGCAGAAATGATTTCTGCTCTCTAGATTGTCTCAGACTTGTGAAGAGAGAAAAACTGTCCCAAAGGACAAGGAAAACCCACCCCAGAGAGGATGTGCAAGAACCTGAATATGAAAATGCACTTAAGGCACACAGGAGGACAAAGAGCAGTGCCAGTGCCTCCTAGGTACTTTACTGAGTACTTTACTGAACAGGATGGGTGTCCCGAGGGATAGAATGGCCTGCCATGACACTTACAAAGGTCTATGTTGGAGTCAGCACTGCCTCTCCCTGAGTTTATTACCTTGAAAAGGCTTGTTCGCTTATTTGAGTTTCAGTTTTTCATTGACTGTAAGATACATTTTGTCAGTACAGCTTGAAACATAAAAATAGTATTTCCAAAGAGGCAAGGTAAAATGATGTATTTTATTTGCTAAAAGTTCATATTTATTTCTTCCCCAGAGTGAGTGTAGTAAGTTTTAAAGGTCTGTTCTTTTTAAGGGTAATTTCAAATGGAATTGTAGGGCTTAGCTTTGTAAATGCTACTGGTGAAATAAAAGTGTGGTAGATAAATTGACGATTTACAAAGATTCACCAAAATGCCAGTTCCCCTCTTGTAGCATGGTGAAGAATTTATGACAGTGGACAGATCTGTATCCTCCTATCTGGACATCTGAGGGGTTTTTTGTTGTTGTTGTTGTTTTGGAGACGCTGTCTTGCTCTGTAGCCCAGCTGGAGTGCAGTGGCGCCATCTCTGCTTACTGCAACCTCCGCCTCCCAGATTCAAGTGATTCTCCTGTGTCAGCCTCCCGAGTAACTGGGATTATAGGCATCCACCACCACACCCAGCTAATTTTTGAATTTTTAGTAAACATGGGGTTTTAGGCCTGGCACGGTGGCTCATGCCTGTAATCCCAGCACTTTGGGAGGCCAAGGTGGGCGGATCACGAGGTCAGGAGTTCCAGACCAGCCTGGACAACATGGTGAAACCCTGTCTGTACTAAAAATACAAAAAAATTAGCTGAGCGTGGTGGCAGGCACCTGTAATCCCAGCTACTCGGGAAGTTGAGGCAAGAGAATTGCTTGAACCCAGGAGGTGGAGGTTGCAGTGAGCCAAGATCTTGCCACTGCACCCCAGCCCAAGCGACAATGCGAGACTCCATCTCAAAAAACAAACAAACAAACAAACAACAAAAAGACGGGGTTTTGCCATGTTGGCCAGGCTGGTCTCAACCTCCTGACCTCAGGTGATTATCTGCCTCAGCCTCCCAAGATGGTGGGATTACAGGCATAAGCCACCACGCCCGGCCCACTCTATTTTCTTTTTATTCCCTAAATTTTAATATGTTTGAGTTTGTCTGTTCCTTTATCACTTTTTTCTTACATAAAAATTCTGCCTAATCCTTCGTGAAAAAAAAAATCTTCCTGTGACTTGTGAAAATGTTCTGGTTTTATCTTTCATGGAATCCTCTCTCTAATAGTGTACTTGACATTTTCATTTGGATGTCTGACAAGAACTTGAACTAACTTGTCTAAACCAAATTACTCATCTTTCCTTCCATCCCCAAATCTGTTTCTCCTACAGTCTTTTGTTTTGTTAATGAACACTTCAGACTTTCAGATGCTTAGATGAAAAACATAAACATTTTCTCTCTTTCACATCTCATCTCAGCAAATTTGAGAGACTGTGTCTTCAAATACATACATAATCTAATCCCTTGTCATCACTTCTGCCATACCCGTCTAAACTTCTCCATTTCTTGCCAGGATAATTGCCATCAACTCCTAATTATTTTTTCTAGTTCTTCACGTTCCCCTGATGTATTCTCAAGGTAGCAGCCAGAGAGAGCCTGTTAAATGCAAATTTGATCATGCCATTCTTCTGCTCCAGATTTTTCAGTGGCTTCTCAACTCATTCAGAGTAAGGCCAAAATCCTTATGAAGTCCTATAATCATCTGAGTGATCTGATTTTGTCTGCCTGTCTGTCCTAAAATGCCTGGCTCCTCCCATGCGAGCAACATTGGCCTTTGTGTCACTTCTTGAATATGCCAAGTATTACCTCAGGGATTTCATACTTGTGTTCTTTCTTCTTGGAATGCTCTTTCTCAGATATCAACACTAAACATTACCACTTCTCAAATATCACTAAATCACTAAGTCATTGAGGTCTCCAATACTGCCTTGTTTAAAGAGAAATCTCACTTCCCTCTGCAGTTTTTAATTTTTTTAGATTTTATTTTAGGTTCAGAGGTATATATGCAGGTTTGCTATATAAATAAATTTCATGGCATGGGAACTTGGAGTATAGATTATTTCATCACTTGGGTAATAAGCAGAGTACCTGATAGGTGCTTTTTGATCCTCACCCCCTCCTGCCCTCTGTCTTCATGTAGGGCCTGTTGTCTGTAGTTCCCTTCTTTGTCTCCACATGTATTTAATGTTTAGCTCCCACTTACAAGTGAACATGTGGTACTTGGTTTTCTGTTTCTGTCTTACATTCCCACCAGCAGTATAAATGCACAACCTTGACAGAGTGTGTTTTTTTGTTGTTGTTTTTGTTGTTTGTTTGTTTTGTTTTGTTTTTAGTAATAGCCATTCTGGGGGGTGTGAGAGGGTATCTCATTGTGGTTTTGATTTGCATTTCTTTAATGATTAGTTCATATTGAGCATCTTTTCATATGCTTGTTGGCTGTGTGTATGTCTTCACGTGAAAATTGTCCATGTCCTTTATTCACTTTTAAATGGGGGTGTTTGTTTTTTGCTTGCAAAATCAAGTTCCTTATAGAGTCTGGATATTAGGACTTTGTCAGATACATAGTTAGCAAAATATTTTTGCCCATTCTTCAGGTTGTCTGTTTACTCTGTTGATAATTTCTTTTCTTGTGCAGAAGCTCTTTAGTTTAATTAAGTATTCCATTTGTCAGTTTCTGTTTTTGTTGCAGCTGCTTTTGGCATCTTTGTCATGAACTGTTTGCCAGGTCCTATGTCCAGAATGGTATTTCCTAGGTTATTTTTCAGGTGTTTTTTTTTTTTTTTCTTTTTACAGTTTTAGGTTTTACACTTTAGTATTTAATCCAGCTTGCTTTTATTTTTGTATATATATAATGAAGGTGTCCAGTTTCAGTCTTCTGCATGTGACTAGCCAGTTATCTCAGCATTATTTATTGAATAGGGAGTCTCTCCCCATTGCTTGTTTTTCTTAACTTTGTTGAAGATCAGATGGTTGCAGGTGGGTGGCATTATTTCTGGGCTCTCTATTCTGTTTCCTTGGTCTATGTGCCTGTTTTTGTAACAGTGCCATGCTGTTTTGGTTACTGTAGCCTTGTAGTATGGTTCAAAGTTAGGTAATGTGTCTCCAGCTTTGTTCTTTTTCCTTGGGATTGCCATGGCTATTTGGGCCCTTTGTTTAATTCCATATGAACTTTAAAATAGTTTTTTCTACTTTGGTGAAGAATGTCATTGGTAGTTTGTCAGAAATAGCATTGAATCTATAAATTACTTTGGGCAGTATGGGCATTTTAGCAGTATTGATTCTTTCTATCCATGAGCTCAGAATGTTTTTCCATTTATTTGTGTCATATTTGATTTCTGTGAGCAATGTTTTGTAATACTCTTTGTAGAGATATTTCACCTCCTTGGTCAGCTGTATTCCTATATATTGTTTTCCTTTGCAGCTATTGTGAAAGGGATTGCCTTCTTTATTTGTCTCTGCCTGAATGTTGTTGATATATAGGAATGCTACTAATTTTTGTACATTGACTTTGTTTCCTGAGAATTTGCTGAGTTTATTTATAAGATCAAGGAGATTTTGGGCAGAGACTGTTGGAATTTCTAGGTATTGAATTATATTGTCTGCAAACAGGCATAGTTTGACTTCTTCTCTTCCTATTTAGATGACTTTTATGTCTTTCTCTTGCCTGATTGCTTTGGCCAGGACTTCCAGTACTATTGATTAAGAGTGGTGAGAGAAGATATCCCTGTCTAGTTCCTATCTTCCAGGGGAATACTTCCAGTTTTGCTTATTCGATATGATGTGGCCATGTTTGTCATAGGTGGCTCTTATTATTATGAAGTATATACTTTCCATTCCTAGTTTGTTGAGAGTTTTTAATATGAAGAGATGTTGAATTTATTGAAAGCCTTTTCTGAGTCTATCAAGATGATAATGTGGTTTTTGTTCATTAGTTCTGCTTATGTGATGAATCACACGTATTGATCTGCATATGCTGAAACAACCTTGTATCTTAGTGATAAAGCCTAATTGATTATGGTGGATTAGCTTTTTGATGTGCTTCTGGATTCAGTTTGCTAGTATTTTGTTGAGTACTTTTTCATCTATGTTTATTAAGGATATTGGTTTGAAGTTTTCTTTTTTTGGTTGTGTCTCTGCAAAGTTTTGGTATTAGGGTGCTGCTGGCTTTATAGAATGAGTTAGAGAGGAGTCTCTTTTCCTCAATTTCTAGAATAGGTTCTGTATAAATCATACAGTGCTTTCTTATATGTTTGGTAGAATTCAGCTGTGAATCTGTCTGGTCCTGGGCTTCTTTTGGTTGGCAGGCTTCACTTGGGTAATGAGGCAGTTTGGTTTGAAGGCTCAGAGCCCCATTTCTACATTATAAGCAAAAAAAAAATTAATTCATGGATTACAAGGGTGTACCTGTAGTTGAGATACTATATTTTATTTATTGGAATGGCATTTTGAGATCCAGTGCTGTTCATTGAATTTTCCTGTAAGGAGAGCTTGTGAGTCTCAGGAATATTTACAAAAATGTTGGATATTTTAATGAAATGTCAAATATTTAGACATTAAGTAGACTTGAGAGTAACTTTAACAAAGGTCTAAGCATGAGAGAGATGTTTGATATATTTTTATGGACTAAAAACCCTGAGAGAGAAAATAGGACTAATTTCACCAGGATGACCTCCTGGAAATTCATTTTCCATTTTGGAAATTATTTTTAAAATTCATTTTTTCTGGATAGGTGTATGTATGTGTGTGTGCCTGTCTATATGTGTATGTTTTATGAACTTGTTAACAATAATGTCATACAAAAGAACTGGTTAGCAGGAGTAAGATTTTAAGGTGTATTGGCCTTCCCATGGTTCCCAAGAAAACTTTTGATGATTTTGATTAAAAAGTTTGGATTCTGTCTATTTAAATCTAGCATAAAAATTGGTCATAGTGATGATCCTAGTAATGACTAATTTCCCTTTAAGATTTAGATGTTTACTGTATGAACTATGTGGTACATTTTCCGTAACTAACAGGTAAAGTTGCTGAACACAAATTATGGAGATGTGAAACGAGGAAAACGTTGCAACACACGAAAGAGAATATGTCTTTATTTGCATACTGGCAAACGAAAATTCAAGTTTCACTTCAACTTCAGTATGAATATTTCCAGTCTCTAACAAGAACAGACATTGAATAAATGAGTTAAGTTGAGCTGTTTGAAAATTAGAATGTTTTCCATAAATACATTATCGAATTCATCAATTAGCATAAATTTGTACTTTCTTGTTTGACACTGGTCACAATATTTGAAAGTAAAAAGAATGTTACTGCACATTCAGAAATCAGGTGCACATAAAATTTAAGGTCAGGATATTAAAGGAATCACAGCCAGTGTTGTTAAGCCTTCATTTTTTCTATCTTTTTGTCTGTTCAGACAAGATAACTTTTCTACCCATATTTTCCATTCTAGTAGTGGTTATGTTTGTTCTCGGAAATTTTGCTAATGGTTTCATAGCATTGGTAAATTCCACTGAATGGGTCAACAGACAAAAGATCTCCTCTGCTGACCAAATTCTCACTGCTCTGGCAGTCTCCAGAGTTGGTTTGCTCTGGGTAATATTATTACTTTGGTATGCAACTGTTTTGAATCCAGATTTATACAGTTTAGCAGTAAGAATTACTACTACTAATGCCTGGGCAGTAACCAACCATTTCAGCATCTGGGTTGCTACTAGCCTCGGCATATTTTATTTGCTCAAGATTGCCAATTTCTCCAACTTTATTTTTCTTCACCTAAAAAGGAGGATTAAGAGTATCATTCCAGTGATACTACTCGGGTCTTTGTTATTTTTCGTTTGTCATCTTGTTGTGGTAAACATGGATGGGAGTATGTGGACAAAAGAATATGATGGCAACGTGAGTTGGGAGATCAAATTGAGTGATTCAACGCACCTTTCAGATATGACTGTAACCACGCTTGCAAACTTAATACCCTTTATTCTGTCCCTGATGTCTTTTCTGCTGTTAATTTGTTCTTTGAGTAAACATCTCAAGAAGATGCAGCTCCATGGCAAAGGATCTCCAGATCCCAACACCGAGGTCCACATAAAAACTTTACAAACTGTGATCTCCTTCCTCTTGTTACTTGCTATTTACTTTCTGTCCCTAATCACATCAATTTGGAATCTTAGGAGGAGGCTGCAGAAAGATCCTGTCCTCCTGCTCTGCCAAACTACTGCAATTATATATCCTTCATTTCATTCATTCACCCTAATTTGGGGAAGCAAGAAGCTAAAACAGACCTTTCTTTTGATTTTGTGTCAGAGTAGGTGCTGAGTGAAAGACCTGAAACTCTCAAATTTCTAGATTCACAAGTGGGACATCGTGTGTCTCCAAGAGAAAACAAACTGATGCTGTCTGGAATATTTTATGCTTTCTACTGGTTTTTCTGTATTGTATATTTTTGAGTAATTTCCAAAAGTATATCTAGAAAAGCCTTTTCCCTAAAGTTAGTCTAAAAAGTATCTATATATGCATGTGTATGTGTATATGAAACAAGAGAGAGTGACAATAACATAATCTTAATCATTTTTTATAAACTGCCAAATTATAGAAAATATAAGAAATTTTTCAGAATCATGAAGCCATGTGTATTTCACATATACATTTCATATTATCATATTTCATTTGAAAAACTTATAATCTCTATTTTTAATTGTTAAGAACTTGCAGCTTATTTCACAAAATCATTTCTCTTTTCCACTGTTATTTGTACCATACATAGGTACCATAGTGTGCTTAAACATGATTATTTTAACTTCTAGTTTTTTGGATGGTATGAGCATTCTATTCTAAATCAATAATGAGGTTTTATCCTTGGGGTAGTTTTTATTTCATAATGAATTCTAATTTTATGTTCAGTTTAAAGCAAACAATTATTGTTAGAAAACTGTGCACAAAATAAAATTCAAGAATGACAAATATATTTGAAATACATTTTGTATATGTCTACCATAATCAGTATTGAGGAATATTATATTTTATACAAGTATGTGAACAACTGAGAAAAAAGTCATATCTGTAATAGGGATGAAGAAAGAAACACAATGCTGACCTCTTAAGTGCTGTCATAAGTCTCCATAAACAATCAGAAAAGTCATTTCTCCCAGTTTTTGAGGTAAAGAAAACCTTTTTGGAAATTGAGATCTGATACCAAATATTTCAATTTTTTTTCCTAAACCATTTCAGAGTTCCTGAATTGCCAATTATCTCCACTATCTTCCACATTTAACATTCTTTTTAAACATCACATAAATGAACTCAAATCTTTGTTACTTGAAAAAATACTTAATGTAAAAATAGTATGGAAATTAGGAAAATCATTTGAATTATACATTCTGCAAATGTTAAAATGACATCTATGAAATCTATGTATTGATGATAGGAAATGACTTAAATATATGTTTTATTATAATGTAGTTGCAAATAATGCAACTATCCTTCGTTTCATTCATTCATCTTAATTCAGGGAAGCAAGAAGCTAAAACAGACCTTTCTTTTGATTTTGTGTCAGAGTAGGTGCTGAGTAAAAGACCTGAAACTCTCTCAAATCTCTAGATTCACAAGTGGGACATGTTGTGTCTCCAAGAGAACACAAAGTAAGAGAAAGTGTGTTGACATATTCAGTGATAGCAAGTTCTATTATAGGAAAAAGTGTATAACATCATTAAACAAGTTAATTCTATAGACTGTGTCAATTCTTGGAGTTATGAAATTTTAACAATGTTATCTAAACCTTGAGGTAAATCATCTTATTTAGTTATTTATTTGTTTATCATATGTCTTTCTTGGTACAATAAAAGCACCATAAAAGCAGAGATCATGTAGATCTTGCTTACTGTTGACTCCCAGGACCTAAAAGATCGCATAAAAAATAGGTAGCCAAAAATATTTTGATGAACAAATAAATTAGTGAATACATGAATAAATTACATATATTGGGGTGGTGAACCAATGAAAATGAACCTCATCACAAAATCTACAGTTGCTTGAATTTTCCTGTTCTGGTTTCTGGTTGAGATTACAGGATTATCTAAGAAGAAGCATTTATCGGAGTAAAAGTGCGGCTATTCCATAATTGTAGGGGAAATATCACTATAATATAACCTTGATGCAGTTATATCAGATGAAAAACATGGAGACAAGGTGGAACATCAAAATCAGATGGCACCTACTACAATACCTACAAAAAAGCATATAACATATTTGTGGATGTTTTTATATATTTTCTCAATTGTGAATGATATATTTGTATTGTGATATTTCTAGCTAGTAATTATGTAAAGAAATGGCATTTAAATTTTAAAAATTGAGTTAGTTATGAATTACCTTACTAAAATGTGATTTTTATATAATATTTTAAATATCCTTTCTAAATGAACATTTTAATTGCTATATTATAAAAGTTACAGAAAAGTGAATGAATAATAAATTATACCACTGAATGCATATCTTAGCTTTAGGGGTCTAGAACTAGAGCCAATGTCTGATAATAATGTGATAACATTTCTTTGGAAAGTAAGTCCAGGGCAGCAATGGCAGGGACACGTGGAAATTCAGGCAAGAGCACGTGGAAATTGAGGCAACAGCAGACATGAAACAACGTGTTGGGATGCATTATAACAATGTGTTGTGTGTATGTGACTGTGTTGTGTCCATTTCACCACAAGGTGAGAGAGAGAGCATGGTGGTCATCAGATGCATGCACTTGGATCCCACTACTTTTCCAGAAAGCTGCAAGAGGAAACCACAGCCGCCATTAGTCCATGGAAGTGAGAGAGGAGGGAGAATATATCTGCTCAGCTATCTTCTGTCTTCTATTTCCCATTGGCAAGGGTTTCCCTGAGGCAGAACCACCATCTCTGCTGTTCTGTTTTCCATCATCCGGTCCCTTGGTGGCTGTTATGAAAGACAGACCTCATGCCCACAGTGTGGTGTTCCATTCACGCCCCAATAGGAGGGATGGTAGGATGATCTAGATCAGGCAAGGTGGTGGCCTAGAGAATAAGAGACAGTTAAGGGAATCTGAGGAAGCACATGTTTGTGTCCAATACTGTCTACTCCTTGTACCACTCAGATTTGCTTATGTCTTCCAATCATGGCTGGCTTTATGGGCATATGATTTCCACAGTCGCACAGAGTCTTGTACTTAGAGGCGCTCATGCTTAGAGGGGCAATGGTTAGTCTTCATATTGCCTGCTCTATTAGCAGCATTGAACCTGGTTTATTTGGGGGATGCTGCCCTCTTCTGATTTTATCATTGTTCACTGGGCACCTCTTCTCAATCTCCTTTGCTAGTTCTTTCTCTTGTCTCTAATCTTCTGCACCTGCTGTTTGGTTTTTGAGACAGAGGGCACTCCTCTGCTGAAGAGGGAATGGTCTTGCACTAATTCCCTAGGGGTTTTCCCTCCCCTCTCCTGTGGATTTGTCAGAGACTTGGACAGAGTCCTATAATGCCCACTATGCCTGCCTCTAGAATGTTTGAATTCTGCTGGATCATCTGGCACAATGGGCAGAGCAGCTTGGGCCAGACCCTATATCTGCTATGGAACCCTTTTTTGTTCTGGGTTCCACTTGAGACCAGTAGACTTTGGAAATTCCATTAGTGAGTCACAGCAATATCCTCAAATGAGGAATATGTTGACTCCAAAATCCCAATAGGTCCAAAAAACACTGTGCCTTTTTCTTAGTGAGAAGAATTATGTATCAGGAAACGAGCCATTTACTTTAAAAAGGATGTTTTGACACAAGGACCAGGAGCATTGGACCTCTAAAAACACCATCTATGTTATAAGTCGCTGAATCTTCTGAGGTTTATGTCTCTCTTCTTCCAGTATTTTACTTCTGTTCAAAGTAATACTGTTTCACTATATTTAAGGAACTTGCTACTTCTTCCTTATGAATACCAATTAAAGTAATATTATTAACATATTGAGTTAGCGTGATGTTTTGCAAAATGCCAATTAATCTGAAAACAGAAGTGACATAGCCCTAACATAAAACAGTGAAGCAGTGCTTTTCTTCTTACCACACCAAACAAATTGTTTTGATTTTCTCTCATAATGCGTGTAGATTAAAAAGCATTCACCAAATCAAAAACCACATACAAAGTGCCAGAAACCACGTTCTGCTCAGTGAAGGTACCACGTCCTAGAGAGCGTCTGGAAGTGCGATTAAGTTTATGCTAATGTGCATTCATCCTATAATCCATCTGATGTCGGCAGAGGCCAGATAGGCTAACTGAATAGGGATATAAAATGTACCAACCCCCTCAGTGTTCATTATCAAAAGGAGTTAGGCTTCCTTTCAGTCGTTTATCTCCGCTTCTGTGAATTGGCTCAGTCCTGAGAACTGGCTGAGGGTCTTTGATTTGTCACATCAGAGGCTGATCTCAGGACTCAGCTTTTTCAACTCTTCTTTCCTCTTGGTTTATAGTCATTTAGCAAAGTATGAAGCCTCTTCAACTATTGGCCTATCAGCCTATTCCAATGAGTCTGTTGCTGTCACCACTCCATTAAATCTGACATTTGTTAAGATCACCAGTGAGTGCGTGTTGCCAATGGTTAGTCTTCATGTTGCATGCTCTATTAGCAGCATTGAACATGATTTATTGGGGGGATGCTGCCATCTTCTGATTTTATCGTTGTTCACTGGGCACCTCTTCTCAATCTCCTTTGCTGGTTCTTTCTCTTGTCTCTAAACTGAAAATGTCACACTCCCCAGGCTCTCAATTCTTCAATCTTTAATCAATCAGGCTTGTTTTGTTGGTGATCTCATGCCGTCTCCTTACTGATAATGTAGTCAAATGGTTCAATAGAGAGGAATAAGGCTGATTATTCATTTATATATTCATATATATTATTTTAATATAGCAATGCAGATATTGGCAGATTAATACATGGGGATTTTAATTATATAATGATCTACATATAATTATATAATGATATAAGTGAAGAAATACATAGATAGAATTATGGTTTACTAACCCATTTTTGAATTCTTGCATTTTGTACAATGTCTCAGTATCTGTTAGTATCTTATTTCTTAAGTTTTTTTCTCTATGATCAATTACTTATGAGTTAATTTTTGTGTACAGTATAAAATAAGGTTCTAAATTTATGGTTTTTTTCCTTCTCTTTTTACTCCCACTTCTTAGGTAAGTTCCTCTAGTCATGGCCTTACTTATTTTCTGTGTGTTGATGATGCCAACATTTAATCTTTCAGCTGAGATCTCAACGGTGGTCTCTGGAATCCTTTCTCTAGTAGCCTATTTGACATCTTCATTTGGATGCCTAACAAGAACTTGAACTAACATGTCCAAATGAAAATACTGTTCTTCCCTCCAATTGTCAGAATTGTGTCTTCTATAGTCTTTCCCTCTTCTGATAATGACCGCTTCAGACTTTCAGATGCTTAGACTAAAAAAATGGAGTCAACATTTTCTCTCTCAGAACTCATCTCTAAGGCATCAGCAAATTTTGTTGACTCTACCCTCAAAAACACAGAATCCAGTCCCTTGTCATGACTCTGCCATACTAAACTGCTGCATATCCTGCCAGAATATTTGCCATCAGCTTCTAATTATTCTTTCGAGTTCTGCACATCCTTTTATCCTGATGTATTCTCAAGGCAGCAGCCAGAGAGAGCCTGCAAAAATGCAAATTTGATCATGCCATTCTTCTGCTCCAGATTTGTCAGTAACTTTCATTTAATTCAGAGTAAAGGCCAAATCCTTACAAAGTCTTACAATCATTCGAATGATCTGATTAAAACACCAAACACCTGGCTCATCCCATGCTAGCAACACTGGCCTTTGTGTCACTTCTTGAATATGCCAAGCATCGCCTCAAGGACTTCATACTTGTGCCCCTTCTTAGACTGCTTTTTCTCAGATATCAACATTGAACATTAT